CCGAATCTGGACCTTTTTGCTACAAGAGTGACAGCCTGTCAGGAGCTTGCAGTGTTTGGTATTAGTCTAACTAATTAGCAGGGCCCAGGGCAAGGTTACACTCTGCAGTAATAATCATTTTTTTTTCTTTCTCCAATACATCATAATGATGGTGATGATCCCATAGGGCAAAGTTGTAATCATTCACCTGCTGACTAAGCTCCAATTATAAAGCGGCTGCTTCAGCTCTATCCTTTTTCAGCTCAGGCACGTCTTACCGAAACCCAGGAAAAAACATCCATCCTTGCCCAAACAAAGGCACTGCTTGAGACAAACTTTACAGTCTTTGCCCCTTAAGGCTGGGTCACAAGAAGCATTTAAAAAATACTTTCACTGAGATAAGTTGATCAGGGAGGGGACAAAGTAAATCCAGTAAATATTTTTGACTTGCAAAATTGTATCATTGACCAATAGCAAACTGTCTTTGGACAGTGCTGACCTTTAAAGGAATGGAGAGCAGGAGATTCCAAAATGGAGGAAGATATTGTAGCTTATTAGATATGTTGCACCATCCGCTATTATTTTACTTCCTCTTGTGGAGCATTACCTGCTCCACTTAAGAGGAGTAGGGGGCTGAGCTTTAGCTCGTCAGTCAGTGGCGCCCCAAAGGGAGTCCGGGAGGGGGCACCCTGATACAATTGCTGTCTTCAAAAGGCTGTGGCACACAATTTTTTTAACCTATGTAACGGTCGTGGTATCTTGTGAACCTGGATAACCTGAGGCATCCATTGTTACCAGTCATGTCATGCTAGCTTGTCGGAAAACGAGGGAGCTAAATTTTGGTGAGGGAACAGCTGGCATGGCCATTTTGAAAGAGGTCCCTTGAACTCTTGACTCAAGATGTCTGAATGAAAATGCGTAAATTGCAATTGCAAAATAACAAACTAAAGTATATCAGTATTTGATCCTTTAACTCTCATACTTCAACGGCATATAGAATTCCTGAAATTCACCTGTGGCTTTTGGTTTTATTGTGCCACCCAAGATTTTCAGTGGCTCCATCTGGTCCCACCATAAAAAATGTCACTGTCACCAGCTACACTGATAGCAATATGAATATTTCCTACGTCACTAAGCTTCTACAACAACATATTCTGTGCAGGCTTTATCCTTCTAATTGTGATCTTTGCGTCACTCACATTCAGTGTATGTAAGTGAGGCTCTATTATTACAGTTGCAGAGGAACTCAATCACTAGATAGATTCATTTGACCATAAAATTGCTGGACAAAGTGACTCTCCTGACAGACAATATTGACCCATGAGGCAAAGGGTCTTAATATTTCAGTCTGATAGAAATGATCACTTGGTTGCACTTAATGGAATACAGCTGAACTCATAACCACAGCAAATATCTCTTCTGAAATATCCTCAAACCCTCCAGCTTTACTTTAGAAAATTCCCTCGTGTATTGCCAATAAGACCCACATCCCTGTTGCATTGTTTAATTTCAACTTAATTATTCATTACACCTATAACAGCATCTTAGGACTAAAACTTAATTTCCTTCTCTTACAGTGACTCATAAACCTGGTCAGGAGGATGCAGTCTCATAAAGGGCATAAACGGATAAGTGACGTTCCAAATAAATGGAAAGTAAATACAGCTTTACCTATTTATAGCTATCAGTTCCCATAAAGCACCAGGCCTCCTTGCCAATAGCATCTGGTAGGAGATATTCAAGGAGCACACTGAAACAAGAGGATGTGAGCACACTGGCTAATTTTGTAACATCTCAGCACACATTTTGAGTTATGCCACTACGCGGTTACCTGTCACATGTCTTTCTCTCTTTGAATCATCACTCGCCCTCTCATCATGTGGAGCGCAGTCGCTAGCATGTAGCATCTAATCTGACATGCAGCCTGGGCTTAAGTGGAAATTGAAACTAAACTGTGGCTTTGAAAGCTCTTGTTTGCACTTACCCTCATGTGATTAACCTATGATCTCAGTTGTAAGCTAGGACCACTGATTCAACAAACCTTATTGTAGTAACAAAGTCAAGAAAATGCTTAGAACATGGGGAGCTGTCCACTGTGCTGAAATTAACCTGTAGGTTGTAGTTTTCTGTAGTTTCAGTGTGGCTTTTGACATGAGGCAAAGTGTTTCCTATTACAAAAATTTTGCATTCAAGACGTTTGTATCAGGCTTTGTCCTAATACTGTTTAGATGCTTTTTGATATTGTGTCCTTATATCTCTGCACTATCTCAAACAGGAATTCTTCAGTTTCTACAGTGTTAAACTACAGTAATAACTGCTGCGTGTGTGCAGGACTGACTTACTTATTTAGGATTATGTTCCTCTCTCTGTTAAAATAGTGTTCGTCACCACCAGCTGTCCTTTCAGTGAGCATATTATGGGCTAAAATACAATTAATTAATGTTGTCACTCCCTTTAATGTGAATTTGACTCAAGGGCAGGCCTACCCTTTACTGTTTCACTGCTGTGAGTGAGTCAGTGAGTCGTGCTTGCTGTGTGACAGAGACAGAGAGGAGGAAATAAAAGAGAGAGAGAGAGAGAGAAAGAGAGAGAAAGGTTTGTGTAGTGGATTGTTGTTATGGATTCAGATATCATTACCGTGTGATGACAAATTGGATGTGGGCAACAAAATGCAGATTAGCACTGATAAATGCTAAAGCTGCCAATAGAATCTGTGCAATAGGCTGCAAGGGAAAAAAATAACACATGCTGTATCCAAAGAAAGCTGCCAGTGTACGACAAGGAGAAAAGTGTTGAACAAAGGCTGCCTGCACGTGCAATCTACTGTAGTCATTGTTAAAACACAAGGTTGTAAAAACAGCATATGCTACCTTCTCTCCAACACCCCCCCCCCCCCCCCCCCCCCCCCCCCCCCCCCTTCCTCCTCCTGTCAGTTGACCATATCCCACTTGTCTGTTCATTGTTATCTGTCTCTCTTGGTCTGCCACTGCTGAGCACAGCGAGGGAGGCAGTCTCTGTGTTGAAGTATTTGGTGTCCGACGGGGACCATTTCTGCCGAGAGACACGACATCCCCCCCCCCCCCCCCCCCCCCCCCCCCCCCCCAACCCATGTCTGTGTATACGGAGTCGTTTTCTCAATGGACCAGATGGAGGGAGAGCGAGTGTAAGACCAGGACAGATGTTTCACTAGACTCTGGGTGTGTTTGTTTGCATGTGCGTGTTCTGAGTGAGACACGAAAAGAAACACAGGGAGGGAAATAGATTGGATCTGAAGGGAAAATGGAACAAGGGGAATAAATTGAGGGGAGGAGAGTATTAAAACCTCCAGTGGAGATTACCTGTCATTGTTTTGACACGGTAACATAACTGTCTTTACACAAAATAAGGATTTTTAGTTGGTAGCCTATGTGTATTTTCGTGTATTGATTTTTTTAATTTAGATATCTTGAGGTATGGAGGTACCTCAGGTATTTGGAGCATTATTTAACTCCTTTCCCAACAAGCTATGATGACATGGTTGGTGCCAGTGGATGCCTTGTGTTGTGCATTTTCACAAGATACCACTATGTGTGTGTTAGTTTAAAAAATGAGCCAGATCTCAGCCTGGATGGTATATCAGGGTCCTATGGCCCCTCCTTGGGGGCACCACTGATTATTTCCTGCTGAAGTGTCCTTGAGCAAGGCGCTGACCCCCTCTCCTGACTTCTCACTCTGTATAATCCCCTTACAAAATGTCTACACCATGGGACTGATACCACCAGTGGGAGGAAAAGTGAATTGTCTCAGCAGCACCATGGCCAGCGCCTGCTCGTGCGCAGCAGGCCTCCCTCACTCTGAGGCAGTGACAGTGGAGCGTTTTATGCAAACAATGTTTGGAAAAGCTTGAGGCTAGAAGGGACATTTAAAACATGACCGCCCAGCTTCACTTTGGCCTAGGACTCTTCATTAATGACATGGGAGGCACACCTGCGTTTGCTGCCCTGATGTCACCACTCACAGCACTGTTGGCCTCGTGACTCAGAGAGAAGACAGGAAAATTAGTCAGTCATTAGTGTCAAACGTAATGTTTCATTACTTGTCGTCGTGATTTTTTGCCTTCCTATTAAACCATGCTGCTGGTTTAATAGGGGCATCATTAGAACCATAAAATCAAAGTAAGCATGGTAAAGTAACTTATCAGACGCAGATAAGCTAAGCTACCTGGCACTTGCTAAGCTAACTATCTTAATTGTATTAGCTGTGTAATAGTGAGAGAAGGAAATTAACAGACTTAAATATGGTAAGCTAGAAGGTAATTACAAATTGTTTATGCTGCCACTATACGGGACTGTTGTTTATTTATCATATGAGGGGGGTGGCTGGGGTGTTTTTTGTTTTGTTTGTTTGTTTTTTGGGCCCTCCCCAATGCTATAAATACTTTTCCTTGAGCTGTTAGATTTTTAAAACCTTCCCTTTAATATTTGAAAATTAAAAGTTGGGGATGAAATCATGGAGTTAAATAAAAAAGCCTTGGTTTGTCACTCTTGTCATGCATGCTGGTTAGTGTAAACAGTTTTATTTTTGGCAATTTCTTTAAATTAGACATGTTTGTCCCACCTAAGGTGTTCAAGGACCGTAGAAAATTTGAAAATCCAACAGTAATTTCTGTTTTTACAGTTTCTGGCTATGGGAAATGGTGTAATTTTGGTGATTTGTAAAGAAAGCATGCCTTCCATACCCACGCACGTTTTCTTTTTTTTAAAAAAAGGTGGTAAAAATAAATACAAAATACAGACATTTAAAGTTGTATGTCCCTCCTCTAGGCCAAAATAAAAAACATTACTCCCTCCCCAGTGCTTAAAAAAATATTTGATATGCCACCCCCGTTATGCACCACCCCTCCACTCTCATAAATAACGAACAGTCCCTATGCTTTGAAACAAAACAGGGAGTAGTAAAGTAACGTCGCCGTGACACGTTACTGTAATCCGTTACCAGCCAGCCCTGCCTCTACTACCTCTCCGTCTGCTTTGTCTACGCATCCATGTGGGTTTTTCCCTTCGCAGTGTCAGTGTTGTGCCTCTCCTCTCTGTCAGTCTCTCCTCTCAGCCATTGGCTTCACAGACCATCAGTCCTCCCTTCACAACAATAGACCCCCACGCGCACACTCGCTCACGCGCCGGCACAAACGCGCACAGTGCTTTCGAGGAGCGTCGGTGAAATGTTGGTGAAACTGCGGTTTGCCGACTCCCTTCTTTTCAGCTTCACATCGGCGAGGAGCGCAGGGAAGCCTCTGCGATGCGCTCAACCGGGGACGCGTCGGAGTTGAAATAAGGGAAGCACGGGGGGTCGGCAGAGAAAAGAGAGAGGGGGAGATTTTCTTACGAGGATGACTGACTGGTGACAAAGAAAACGGGGAGCCCCCTCTGGCTTCGCTTGTCATCCGTGAGAACTTGACGGAAGGCGTTTTGGGGGACCGGCTTACTTGGGCAGTCAAAGATTTTTTATCATCATTATTTTGTGGAGGGGCACCATGCCTGTCCGGAGAGGTCATGTTGCGCCACAAAACACATTTCTGGGAGTAATTATTCGGAAATTCGAAGGACAAAGTGAGTACCTCTCCCTGGTGTCCAGTGCTGTGTGGGTGCGCTGTGTTGTGCTGCCTGCCTTTGTGTCTGTCCTGCTGCATCCTGACAACAATTATATAGTCGTTAGGACATTGATGAGTTGAATGATTTTGATATGTCAATGGAAAGTAATTTTAAGTTAATCACCCTGCTGCCTGATCTTGTGTAGCAGCTCTGTAGTGCTGGAGTGCCTCCTCTACTCTGGAAATTGTAGTTAAAAAAGCTGCATATGAAAAACAAAGATTAAGGGATTTAATAACTTTCAGATCATATCCTCAAAATACCTGCATTGCCTTTATTAAATCCTCCAGTTGTGTTTAGTTTTGGTAGATTATTTGTGCTGTGATGCATGCTGGAGGCCTATTGAATCAAGCAAATGGGCAAACAATCATCAAGTGTGCCATAAATCTGGTTGTACAGCTGAAAATGTATGCATTTTTCCACTTAAAATAATAGATAATCAAGCTGTAATGATTACAAGATGAGCATAAACAAGTATAAAGCAATCCAGCCTGCTTTACGTTTATTTATTCATATATTAAGGAATATAATGGAGGATAATCCCATGTAAACAGATTACACCCACTTACCTGTTTTTATATTTTTGTGAAATATATTGTGTCACATTATGTTAATATATTTATGGTTTTAATGGTTTCATTTATATCCACATGTTTAATGTCCTCAGTAAATTGGTTATGTGATTTTTCTGCCTATGAACAAATTACCATTCTTCCTCCTTTTTAAATCTCTCCTCTACAGATAAGAAATTCATCATAGCCAATGCCCGGGTACAGAACTGCGCTATCATCTACTGTAACGACGGCTTCTGCGAGATGACGGGCTTCTCCCGGCCGGACGTCATGCAGAAGCCATGCACTTGTGACTTCCTGCACGGCCAGTTCACCACCCGGCACTCGGTGGCCCAGGTGGCCCAGGCGCTGCTGGGCTCGGAGGAGCGCAAGGTGGAGATTACCTACCACCGTAAGGATGGTGAGTGCCACGCGCCGTCTCATGTGGGCTCAGGTGGTATGTACAGCACATGACACGAGGCTGCTGCAGTAGTATTGCTGTAAAGTGCACTGAAGCTCTGTTGCCCCCTCTCCGAAAGTAATCATCATGTTTTGATCTCTTCGCCAGTGTTCGACTGATAAGAAAGGTTGAAACACAACATTTGTGCTACAGAGTTTGATTTTTGTTGTGTGCTGCACAAGCCCGAGCCACCTGCAGTGTTAGTGCAAGATAAGATGTGGGATAAATGTGCGAAAGGTGACTTTTACAATGTCTCACACTCTAGGTACACAGTGGGTAATTTTTAGTTCTGAGTCGGCTCTATCTGGAGCATTTTGCAGCAGCAAATCACTGAGTGCACCCATTTAGAACCCTGAGGGGGGGAGAGCAGCTGTGAAGGTTTCCTTTGCTGTGAAGTCCAGTTTTGAACTGATGCAAGCGCTGGGTGGCTGGGAGAGATGTTCATTAGCCTGCGCTGGATAGGGCACCCTGGGAAGGATGTAGCGCACTTCCCTAAAGAGTAATGTGAAGATAGTGAGGCGTGTGGTTCCTCTGTTTCTGTTCTCATCATCTCTTAAAAAAATAGCATAGTTGTTGTACAGTACAGTGTACACAGATGTCACAGATGTTTGTTATAATTCTAACATCCTGTTAGCACTCACAGACTTGACAGTTGTCTCTGACTAACTGTATCTGTGCAGCTTTTCCATACTTCAGATTGTGTTGCTGTGTGTACATGCTGCTTATGAATACTGCATGCAGATCATGACTTGGCTTGACAGCTGGTATTGTTTTGATGAGTTACAAGGCGAGCTGCAGAGTGAAAGTTTAAACCAGTCACATCAAATGTGCTGGTTCAGGGAGAGTTCATGTGCTGACCTCTAACAATGACATATGTATTCAGACGATTAAGTCTCCTTGCATAACGCTTAAGGTGAAGTTTCACGCCGACTCAAATAAGGATTAATAGTTTTTTAAGACTGATGAAGGGATCATCCACGTGTGCCTGTCTGGTGTTTGTTGTATGTTGCCTTTAGGCTTCATAATGTTTATCCTCAGTGATTGTTAATGCTGTTGTGTGTGAGTTATTTTTAATCCAATAAAAATCAATCTACTGCACTTAGGCTGAGCCCATGGGGTGCAGCATTTTGTTATAGTTTTTACAGTTTTTTATTGGGTTGAGTGCACTCAATTATTGCTGCAGAGCTGTAAAGTTAGCTGAAACATCGCCTCAAACAAGAAATTATACTTTTGGTATTAATAAATCACAACCAATAGCCTGAAAACTTGTTTAACAGCAAATGATATTAAAACAACAATAAAAACTTGATTAACCCTCTCACATAACATCCCAAACAGTGCTCCAGACTGCAACAAAAATGGTCACATAGGCGATCATTTTTTGTGAGTGCGTGAGTTAAATTTTACATGGTAGCATTCCAAAACATAAAGCAGTCTGTAGCTGATTATTTCAAAAATAAAATTAGGAAGTAAAAAAGTAAAAAAAAGTACCACTTTCAGCCACAATGGCTAACCCAGAATCTGTGTCTGCGCTATGAGGGGATTGCTATGCTGTGTGTGTATTGTAGGCAATGTGAGAGGCAACTGTGTCTAGACAGTTAAAGCTTGAAACTTTGAGTTGCACATTAATACTAACAAACAAAACCTGCAGGCATACAAATAAAGAAAACCATTCATCAGCAGACGAGGTCATTGATTAGTAACATGCTGTACCAAAAGTGGTGCGATTAAATAATATGTCGGTGCAAATAACTGAGAAAGTTAGTAGCAGCAGTGCTACCAGTGGAGAAGTTGGTCTGGAGCCTTGCCAATTTTTTTTTTTTTTTTGCAAAAATATTGAACAATACTTGCTGAATAAATCACTTCACAAAGTCCTCTGAAGCCCACTTCAGATCTAAGTTAGCGTTGGCGTCTTTGAGTTAAGGAGGACGTCCCCCTGAGCATCTAGAGTGAAGAAGCACAGTTTGCACCGGGTGACTCATCAGTGCTGCAGGAGAAACATAAAGCTCCTGATGTAAAAAAAAGGGTTAAAATTTCTCTCTGCTTAAGAGCAGATGTATTCTTTTGTAATGAAACAAGATGCTATCAGAGGGATTCGATTTGACATTTGATGTAAGATAGGAGCTTCAGATTAGCGATGATGATGTGGCTTTTGAAGATTGACCACTTGTGTGTGTGTGGTGGTGTAATTCATTCTCAGGCAGGTATAAGAAAACCCAGAGGGAGAGAGGTGATGTAGATTAGGTCAAGGGTAGTTTACAGAGCAGTGACAAATGATAGTATCCTCAGAGACATAGATATATGAGGTCAAAGGCTGAAAGAGTGAGATGAAGCAGCTGAAAAAGGCTCAAGGGACTGGGCAGTGGAGAAGTCAGCTTATTTTTTGAGTGGAGTGGTTGGAGTCAATATGCAGCCCATAGCCTTTTTAAAAAATATTATCTTTCCTGAACTTTGACAAGGACCATAAGGTCAGTCAGTATCATAAATACTACAATTTCCCTGTGTTTTCCAGTGCTAAAGATGAGATCCTGCCCCTGTGATAGGAGTTGCAACATTACTTATTTTATGTGTGCCACAAAATTCACACCCGGGTATGAACCAAGAACATTTATTCAAGTACCAAGTTCTGTCTTGTACATCTATATAGTTTTACACTCTGCTACATTTCAGAGGGAAATGTTGTCAATTTTAGTCCATTCTATTTTTTTTGACAGTTGAAGGTGCTGTTACGCTGTAGATAAGGCATGCCACAATACCAGAAATTCAATAGTCGATACCAGGTGGCAGCCTCTGGGGCTGAGAACTGAAGCCAATACGGAAGTGCCGAAAACTGCAGTTCTTTGAACGGTCGCTTGAGGCTGGCTCCAGAAGCGAGTCAGCTTTACAGCAGATATTACCAGGTTTACAGTCTGGTGCCAAAAACTGTTTTGGTCTCTATCGCTAATTTCCCTGTTCATTACAGCTAGTCCATACCCATTGGTAGCTTTGTCACCTTTTACCTATGCCAATCCTCAATGCCTATGTGCAGTTTCACATAGATTGACCACGTCAGTGAGTAGAAAAATGTGGGACAGACAGAATGACTGACTGACAGAATGACACACTGACAGTTTCCGTGATTATGTACAGCATACCATACCATGACTTAGTCATACCAAAATTTAGGAAAAAACAAACAAACATTGGTCCACAGGGGGAGCCACCGCGATCAGTCGCATTTTAGCCATGTTTAAGCATTTTTCTGTTGTTAAAGCACCACCCAGTTGCCAATTAGAGTTAAATTTCTCCAGTCACCTTGAGGCGTCCTGTTCTACATATCTACCAAGTTTAGTAAAAATCGATATGGCGGTTAGGGCTAGATAAGAAATTAGCTCTCTAGCGCCCCCATTTTGTTTGATTGGGTTCATAATGGAGGGGTCCCCTCAGATTATGTGTGGTCATATGCCTACAAAGTTGCGTGGTGATGGGTGAAACCCTTGAGATGTTATACACCTTTATGTGATGAGCTACGCCCTCCGCAATATTCATTGCCTTATAGAAGCTCAGTTTTAGTAAGTTTTCCAACTTTTGCCCAGAGGGAACTTTAGATATTGGTCCCTAGATTATGTTCACCCAGTTTCATGCAGATCGCTCAAACTTCCTCGGAAGAGATTGATTTTAAGTGTTTTTCAAAAAACTCAAAATGGTGGAAAATCTATATAACCGGAAGTTATGGTTCCTTGAGGCAAATTTGTTCCTCATGAGGAGAGGCATCTCTGTGCAAAGTTTCATGTCTCTACGACATACAGGGCATGAGATATGAGAAAGTTTGCAATTTCAATCGGATGCTATAGTGCCCCCCTTTGGACAATTTATGTAATATTGCTTCATTCGCATCCTCCTATGACCCTCTACCACTGTGCCAAATTTCACATGGATTGACCAAGTCAATGAGGAGAAAAATGTTGAACAGAGACACAGACAGACACACCCACAGACAGAGTTTACATCATTATATAGTAAGATTGTACGGGTATTGAATTTATATATAACTCACCTGTTTACACTTTATCAAGGCTTATATTTACACATAATTCAGGGTGGGCTGCTTTGAGTGAAAGGTTGTCTGCTGATAGTGTCCTTGGCTTCTCAGTCAGATCCACCCCTTGCCCCTCCACAGCACCAGCCTTTCGTCCAAATATAGTCATTTCTGGCTCCAAAAAACCAAGATGGCGATGGCCAAATGCTGAACTTGAGGCCTAAAAACAATAGTTCACAAACCAGTGGGTCATGTCACAGTAGTTACGTCCATTATTTTTACAGTCTATGGGTAAATACCAATGCTCATGATGTTCCACGATTTTTAAAACCCAATTTGATACCATGATAAAAAACAAAAACAAAATAATAAATCTAATGGACTTGAACACACACTCATTTAATCTATTTTAAATTGTGCATGAGATTTTGTGGGCAAGTAAACATATATTAAGGGATAGCCTACAGTATGTGAACCTATTTCTCCTCCATAGTTGTCATTGTTTAGCACTTGTACATGTAAGATGTAACGGTTGGTTTTTTTGGCAGGCTTTTTTGTCCCACCCCTCCTCCACTGTGATTGGTCGGCTGGGTGACAGCGATGATAGCAGCGTGTTATCCAAAGTTGAACATTTTTCAACTTGGCGACCAGAAAAAAAGCACCGAACATGCAGCGTTCAGCACAGAATAGACCCTCAGTGCCTGGTCCCACAGCTTGCTTTTGTAGCATAGTGTAAATAAGCAGCCTTCTCATTGCAAAGAATTAGGAAAATTTACTGGTCTCAGAAAAAAAAAAGTTATTCTTTTTGACAAGTCGAGGTGGAGCTGTTGTTGCAGCAGAACTTATTGCAGACTTCTGCATGTTGGTGTTGTTCTGTGCTGGTAGGCGTTCTCCTTATTCCTTAACAGCAGATGAGAACACTCGTTGCTGTATATGCTGCCCG